TTGACACTTTGTGGGTGAGGTACTTGATAGAGTGGACCGGTATTGTCCATTTTCACACTTGACCTAGCACTTAGAAAAATATTAGGATTCGCAAAGTTGGAGCAAAATCGGATCATCATTTCTCTTTCTGTGCAGAAAATATATTTTTGCAAAATTTCGACGTTTTGTGGGGGAGGTACCAGAAGGCGTGGACCGATATTGTCCATCTCCGAACTCGATCTAAGTTTGACAAAAATATTACGTTGTACAAAGTTTGGACCAAATCGGGTACTTCCTTCGAGAGTTATCGTGCGCACCAGCCAGCCAGACAGACGGACGGACATCGCTAGATCGACTCCAAATGTCCTGAAACGGATTTGGTCCAAAGAGACCTAAGGTCTAAAACCGTTATTTCGACCAGGCACGTTTTGACCGTATTAAATGATATATACCCTCTGTAGCCATATGGCTGAGGGTATAATAAGTTCTTCCAGGCAAAACATTGGACCGTTTTTTAACCTTTTTTTAAATTGACCTTTAACCTTTTTTTATATTCAAAGTAAATATTAAAGAAACATTTTGAAATATGAGAACCCATTTTTCATTGCCCAATTTTCAACGTAAAAAGCAACAGCAACATGATATTTAAAATATGCCCGAAGAAATCAGGTCACTTGTTTTGCAAACAAGAATTACAACATTTGACAGAATGATGTTGTTGTTGTTTTTTTTCTGTGCTTCCGATGTTCGTTCATCAGCAAATGAACAATGTCAGTTTTCAGTTTCGATAAAATGTTGCACACATCAGCAAAAGTATTTTCGTTGGCGTTGTTGTTGCTGCGCCATTTTTTTTTTTTTTTTTGCACCGGCTTCAGTCTACAAGTATTTGGAATTGAATTCCAGCAATTGTTGTAATGTAGTGTTTTTTTTTCCTTTTGAAATCTTACGTGCATGTTTGAACATGATTAATTTTTATACAAGCTGATTCTCTTGACGCTACTTGGTGTTTTTTGCTAACTTGCTTGCGTTCTTTGAGAAGTACTTGGAACAACAATTTTTTATATTTATTTTGTTGCTTCGCTTCTACTATTTAAGCTGCATTGCTCCGCTCCGGACGACTTTAATGTTGGCTCCGCGTGTTTGCTGCAGCAACACGTAAAAGCAATGAAGTGTAAAAACATCAGCTTTCTATGTAATGTGCTACCACCTAAAAGGGAACGGGAGTTTAGTTCTATCCCAGCATCCGTTTCCTGATATTCATATACATCCCCTCCCCGCCTTCCCCATGAATTGCCGAAGAATCCGGTCATGACATGATGTTATGTAGCATTCCCTTACATGCAACACGTGACTTTGACTTTTGTTTCGTTTTTTTCGGTTCAGTCTGTACATCCGTTGCAGTTGTTGCCATTTCCACAGCAAGCCACTCACACAGGCACACATAGAATCGTCTACACAACATATGTATGTTGAAATACAGCTGCTTTTCCACGTCGAAAACGAAACAGAAAGTTTGCTACTTCCGTTCACATTTCGCGGGACTAATAAAACAAAACTCTGTCAAAAAATATTGCTGAGCATTTCAAATTACTCTCCCTCGTACGGTGTACTAAGCGCGTATTAAAGTTAAGATGTTCATGGGGAGTAACAAATCAGAAAGCAGTAACTAAAAAAAATATATTCAACGTTGGAAGTTGTTAGGGTACAACATCGATTTTTTTTTTTTTTTTAACACCAGAAAGTCCACCAAAAACGCAGACCGGAAGGTCTAGGAATCAGATGACCAAATAGTCTTCTTCAACGAAGGCCCAAAGATCTTGGCCCCCTCGGATGATCAGAAAGGCTTGTTCAACGAAGGCCCGAAGGTCTTCTTCGTAAAATACTCAAAGGCCTTCTCCATAGAAGACCTGAAAGTCTCCTCTCCAGAAGACCTGAAAATCCAGGTCTAGAAAGGCTTTTCCAATGAAGGTCTAGCAAGTTTTCTCCATAGAGAAAACTTGAAGACCACATAGTCTTCTTCAACGAAGGCCCAAAGATCTTTGACATGAGAAGACCAGACGATTTTCGCCCTCAGATGATCAGAAAGTCTTGTTCAACGAAGGCCCGAAGGTCTACTTCGTAAAATACCCAAAGGCCTTCTCCATGGAAGACCTGAAAGTCTCCTCTCCAGTAGACCTGAAAGTCTCCTCTCCAGTAGACCTGAAATTCTCCTCTCCAGTAGACCTGAAAGTCTGCTCCGTGGAAGACCTGAAAATCCAGGTCTAGAAAGGCTTTTCCAATGAAGGTCTAGCAAGTTTTCTCCATAGAGAAAACTTGAAGACCAGATAGTCTTCTTCAACAAAGGCCAAAAGATCTTGGTCATGAGAAGACCAGACGATTTTCACCCTCAGATGATCAGAAAGTCTTGTTCAACGAAGGCCCGAAGGTCTACTTCGTAAAATGCCCAAAGGCCTTCTCCATGGAAGACCTGAAAGTCTCCTCTCCTTATAGACCTTAAAGTTTGCTCCGTAGAGGACCTAAAAGTCTGCTCCGTAGAAGGCCAGAAGTCCAGGTCGAGGGCTTTTCGAATGATGGTCTAGTAAGTTTTCTCCATAGAGAAAACTTGAAGTGCAGATAGTCTTCTTCAACAAAGGCCCAAAAATCTTGGCCATGAGAAGACGAGAGGGTTTTCCCCCTCAGATGATCAGAAAGTCTTGTTCATCGAAGGGCGAAGGTCTACTTCGTAAAATACCCAAAGGCCTTCTCCTCTCCAGTAGACCTGAAAGTCTGCTCCGTAGAAGACCTAAAAGTCTGCTCCGTAGAAGACCTGAAAATCCAGGTCTAGAAAGGGCTTTCCCAATGAAGGTCTAGCAAGTTTTCTCCATAGACCAGATAGTCTTCTTCAACGAAGGCCTAAAGATCTTGGCCATGAGAAGACCAGACGATGTTCGCCCTCAGATGATCAGAAAGTCTTGTTCAACGAAGGCCCGAAGGTCTACTTCGTAAAATACCCAAAGTCCTTTTCCATGGAAGACCTGAAAGGTCTAGAAAGAGCTTTTCCAATGAAGGGCTGCCAAGTTTTTTCCATAGAGAAAACTTGAAGACCACATAGTCTTCTTCAACGAAGGCCCAAAGATCTTTGACATGAGAAGACCAGACGATTTTCGCCCTCAGATGATCAAAAAGTCTTGTTCAACGAAGGCCCGAAGGTCTACTTCGTAAAATACCCAAAGGCTTTCTCCATGGAAGACCTGAAAATCTCCTCTCCAGTAGACCTGAAAGTCTGCTCCGTAGAAGACCTAAAAGTCTGCTCCGTAGAAGACCAGAAGTCCAGACCTAGAAAGGGCTTTTCCAATGAAGGTCTAGCAAGTCTTCTCCATAGAGAAAACTTGAAGACCAGATAGTCTTATTCAACAAAGACCCAACGGTCTTGGCCATAAGAATACGAGAGGGTTTTCCCCCTCAGATTATCAGAAAGTCTTGTTCAACGAAGGCCCGAAGGTCTACTTCGTAAAATACCCAAAGGCCTTCTCCATGGAAGATCTGTAAGTCACCTCTACAGGAGACCTGAAAGTTTGCTCCGAAGAAGACCTAAAAGTCTGCTCCGTAGAAGGCCAGAAGTCCAGGTCGAGGGCTTTTCCAATGAAGGTCTAGCAAGTTTTCTCCATAGAAAGCCAGAAGCTCTTTTCCATAGATGGCCAGAAGGTCTTATCACAGAAGGCCAGGTCTTCTTCTCAGATGGCCAGAAGGTGTTTTCACAGATGACCAGAAGACCATAGAAGTGAATCCCTTCTCTATATATGGTCAGAGGGAAACCTCCACATAAGTCCAGAAGGTCTTATCGATAGAATGCCAGAAGGTCTTCTTCACATATGGCCAGAAGATCTTCTTCATAGAAGGCCAGAAGGACTCTTCCATAGAAAGCCAGAGGGTCTTCCTCATACAAGGCCAGATGGTCTTCTTCATAGTAGACCAGAAGCTCTTATTCATAGAAAGCCAGAAGGTATACTCCATAGAAGGGCAGAAGCTCCTCTCCATAGATGGTCAGAGGGTCTTTTCCACATAAGTCCAAAAGGTCTTCTTTACAGAGGGTCAGAAGGTTTTCTTCATAGATGGTCAGAAGGTCTTTTCCATAGAAATCAAAAGTTCTTCTCCATAAAAAGCCAAAAGGCTTTCTTCATAGAAGGCCAGAAGGTATCTTTCATAGAAATCCAGAAGGTCTTCTTCATAGAAGGCCAGATGGTCTTATCCATAGCAGGACATTAGGTCTCTTCCATAGAAGTCCACAAGGTCTTCTGCATAACAGGACAGAAGGACAAAGAAGACTAAATTATCTTTTCGTAGAAAAGGAGTTCTTCTCCAAAGAAGAACAGAAAGACTTCCTCACATAAAAGAGATAAGCTCTTTTTCATTGAAGACCAGAATGCCTTCTTAATAGAAGTCTCCATAAAAGACTCGAAGGTTTTTTCCATATAAGACCAGGTTCCCATGAGAAGACGAGATGAAATTTTCTACGAATAGCAAAGCATTGTTTGCAAAGAATAGCAAACGGGCGGTATTTTGCTACAGAATAGTAAAAGGTCTTTTGCTATAGAATACCAAACGGACGGTCCTTCACTATAAAATCGTAAAAAGTCAGTGTTTTGATGTAGAATAGCAAACGATCGATATTTTACTATAGAAAAGCAAACGATCAGTCTTTTGATACACAATTGCAAACGGCCGGTCTTTTGCAATATAATAGCAAACGTTCTGTCGGTATGCTATAGAATAGTTAACGATTGGTCTTTTTCTATAGAATAGCAAACGCCTGTTCTCTCCAGAATATATTCATGTGTATATGCAGTCACAGATTATATAACAAACCAGAAGAAAAAAAAACTATATAAAACTGTCATGGCAACAAATTATATTTTCTTTTTGCCACTTCTTTCCCATCCAGGCAAAGGCAACGAAGGACATACGCTTAGTAATGAATGTAATCACCTCACACAAGCATCTTCTCTAGCTGTACGTGCTCTCCTTTAGCTTCAAGTACTTACCTGTAGTGCAACATGTAAACGTTTGGCCCAGGGACGAGCTTGTTTCTTGTCGCTGACAATCATGTCCATATGATGTTGCATACGTGTCAGGACCCAATGGAAACATTGCACGCTCAGCGATTCACTAAAAGAAGGATGAAAAAATTAAAAAAAAAGTTAGCACAAAACGGTTGAATGCAAAAACGACAATGCAGGTTGAAAAATGTATGTGGAAGGGTGGAAACTTCAAAATAATTATAAAACATGAAATTAACTATAAGGAAATGTTTGCACTTAAATAAAGCTAAAGAAAATCCAAAGACAAATAAAGTCTGCACCAGAGAGAAGCAAAAACAGGAAGCATAAAAAAGTTAACGAGGCTAAGTAACAGTCATCGGGAAGAAAGAATGGTGGTTTTGTTGGCAAGTTGTAAAGGGATTAAGAACAGTGCTTTGAAGAGAGAAGTGTCATTTGTAGCATTAAACAGTAAGGAATGGACATCAAAGGATCTATGATACGCACATTCAAAAGAGGTTTTCGTAACCAATATACATTTATTTTGGGAACTTGCGAAAAGTAAATTATACCAACTATCATCCTTATTTTTACGTATTAGGCTTTAGAGTGATTAAAATTTGAAAAAAGATGGAACTAAAATACAGGGTGAGATGAAAAAACTGCAACCGACTTCAGACTGCTGTCATTTCTAAGCCACTCGACCGACAGCTGTTAAAATTATTCCACTGACAGCTCATTATATTGTTTACAAGCGTTCAAAAGCATTTTGGCGAGAATTTTCCAGAAAAATAGTTATTCGTGATGGAATTCAAGCGTGATAGTATGATTTCTTTATATTTGGCTGGAAAACCACAAGTGGCTATTGTTAGAGCTCTCCAGCATTTAAATGTGAATAAATCTTTTGTATCTCGTACCACCGCTTGTTACCGTGAGACTGGCAGCGTAGCCCGACGTGAAGGAAGTGGACGGAAGAAAACAGCAACATCAGCAGAAATGGTTCGAAAAGTAAAGAAGCGACTTGATCGAAACCCGCGTCGCAGTTTCCGAAAAATGGCTCGTGAGCTGAATATATCGTAATATTCCATTCGGCAAATATTGAGAAAACATTCGTTGTTCAACATTCGTAATTATCGACCGTGGAATCAGAATAAATGCCGAATATTATATTCTGGTTACGAAATGAGATTCCTCGATTCATTTCCAGCGCACAAAGACCACCAAAATCTCCGGATACCAATTCGTTGAACTATTGTGTCTGGAGTATTTCACAAAGCAAGGTTGGCACTAAAAAATAACAAACCATCGATCACCTCATGCAAGCGCTTCGTCGGGAATTGGCCAAAATACCGCAGAGCAACATTCGGACAGCGTGTGACGGTATCATTGGCCGTTTTAAGGCCATAATTCGTGCCAAAGGTCACCAATTCGAAACAATCTAAACTTATTCTATAATTTGATGCTATTTCCGACATTTTTTACTTTCAATTTGAGATTGTTGCAGTTTTTATACCCTCCACCATACATAGTATGGAGGTTATATTAAGTTCGTCATTCCGTTTGTAACTCATCGAAATAATCATTTTAGACCCAACAAAGTATATATATTCTTGATCAGCGTAAAATTCTAAAACGATTTAGCCCTGTCCGTCCGTCTGTTGTAATCACGCTACAGTCGAAACGAATTAAGGCAGGTCAAGTTCGAAGATAGGCTATATCGGTCCACGATATCGTATAGCCTCCATATAACGGTACCCTCCGATATTCGGTATTTTGAAGATGTTAGCCACATTTTTCAACGGAATTTTCTGAAAATCCATACAAGTTCCTTATGGCTACTTTTTACTTCGGAGGAGAATTATCTATATCGGTACACGATATCTTATATCCCCCATATAACGGTACCCCCGATATTCGGTATTTTGATGATTTTACCCACATTTTTCAACGGAATTGTGTGAAAATCCACACAAGGAGTTCCATGTGGGTATTTATACCTCGGCAGAGAATTCTTTATATAGGTTAATGATATCATATAGCACCCATATAACGGTACCCCCGATATTCGGTATTTTGATAACTTTAACCACATTTTCAAATCGTATTGTCTGAAAATCCACACAAGGAGCTCTTTGTGAGCATTTTACCCCCTGAAAGGGAATTGTCTATATAGGTCCACGATATCGTATATCCCTCATTCAGTAGTTTGATGATTTTAGGCACTTTTTCCAATGGAATTATCTGAAAATCCACACAAGGAGTTCCTTGTGAGTACTTTACACCCAGACATAGATTTGTCTTAATAGGTTCACAATATCATATATACCCCCATATATCGGCACCTACCTATATTAGATATTGTAAAGATTTAAAAAAAAATTAATGGATTTTATTTTTTTGAAAATTTCGTAATTCGTTCCAATTGGTGGAAGGTATTCAAAGTTCGGCCTGGCCGAACTTACTGCTTTTTTACTTGTTTTACCTCAACCTGTACATATTTTCAAAAACATCTCCATATCCGAATCCCAGAGACGTCAATATCAAATTTCGGGATTCCAGTTCTTCACCCTTCACTTAATACCCAATTTAGTACCACTTAGAAGAATTACAATACACCTTTCCAATACCACCTCCATATATTCACCACAGAAACCAAGCGGGACATTCTTATCAATTTTCAGAATTTCAGCTTTCCACCCAATACCAAATTTAGTACTTTTCGATTTAAATTATAGTACACATTTCCGAAACCACCTCCATATGTCCATCACAGCGACCCTAATACCAAATTTCTGTTCCAAAATTTATTCCAAATTTCTCACCATTTACAAATTGTTCTGCCAAATTTTGAAGCTCTACGTCAAATAATGTGGGCTGTATCGTGATTTCAACAGACAGACGGACAACGTCAAATCGACTTACAATTTTATGCTGTTCATGAATATATGTAGTTTATAGGGTCTACGACGAATATTTATGGGTGTTAATATACCCTCCTTTACCAGGTGGAAGGTATAAAAATATACGTTAAGGTTGTGCTAGTCTTGGAAAAATTCTTTAAAACTTCACGGTTTCATGGATGTCTTCGATAATAGTTCGGCACTCATAGTCCTCAAAAAATCTGGTTTATATATCTGATGCGGATACTTAAAACATTTGCGCTTATGGCTCTGAATAAATGTGATTTATAAAGATTCAAAATTAGCAACTTTTCTTTTCTTTGCATCTGGAGAGTTGCCTCAAAGCTGGGCGAAATTGTGGTGGTTTTCGTCCCAACGTAAATGAGACCTAATGATATTCATGAGTTCAGATCTCATATATCCTTTCACCATCGATCCTAGTGCAGAATCCTTGTCATATTTATCAGATTACCTATCAGGCAACCACTGTGCAAAATAAAAATAGGAAGAAACCCAGACTATCGCCAACGAGAACTACTAAAGTCTAAGGCTCTTGATGTCAAGCAATCATCAAAGATGTCATCATTAGTCGCATTATCATTATTGTCATCGTCATCATATGCGCTGAATACATTATGAAACAGGAATTAACGAATGACAATTTAATTAGCTACCTGGATGATAGACCCAACAGAAGAGACACGAAAAAATACCCTTTTCATGAAAATTAAAAAGAAAAAAGGTTGGGCATGTCAAATATAGCCCCCAACCACGTCATAGTTTTGCTCTCATAACGGCTCGAAGGAGTTGCAACTTTACTTGCCGCACAATAATTTGAAAGAAACTTTCGTCACATAGCCGAATAAACTTTTAAGAAAACAGGACTCATTAACGAAATTAAATTTTTTCAAGTGGAAACAGGCACAGACGCACACACACACACACAGTTAGTTATTCAGGGATACACACCACATTCACACGTTGGGATATCGTCACATATCAGTGAAACCTGTAAACTATTACTGCAGGTCTAAAGCAACAACCCAGTAAACAATTTTTTCCGACTGCTCTGATTTTAGATTTTTTTCCGAAATTTCTGACGTTTTTTTCAGAAATTTCTGATAGAAATTGGTCCGATTTTCTAAACGTTTTTTTTTAGAATTTCTGCACATTTTCCTGCGTTTTTAAGCGAAAAAAACTCGAAAAATGTACAAACGGAGAGAGTAGATTGTCTATTGCTCTGGCATATTCTCTCCCACATGTAAACGGATGGTGGTGGTTTGACACATTCTCTCCCATAGTAGTTGTTGTTGTGATCATTCATTTCAAGATCTCAACAACAACAAAGCGCAAAGCAAAAATGCTATTTGTTATTGTTATTGTGAACTGTTAGATTTTCCGTTGTAAAAATGTGCGTTTTGTTGTTGTTGTGAATCAGCCTCTTTCTCTTTCGTTCCCAAAAAATATGATGAAAAAAAATTGCAAAAACAACTACATACCGGTTTTCTGTGTGCACTGCTTTTTATTTTTAGTTCTTGTTTAGCAGTTGAAAGAGAAACGTGCTTCGGTATAGTTGAATTAAAGTGTTTACAAGAAGTGTTCAAAAAGTGAATTAAAAATTTCCAGAAGGTGTTTAAAATTAAAAAACAAACAAAATTGTTTATTACAGGTAAGAAAAAATTATAAAAATGTCACGCCGATCTATCAAAAGAAATGCAAAAAAACAGGCTCAAGAATTACTTTGCAAATTATTGAGTGAACCTCATAACGAACCATTAGGTGCCAAAGCAAGTATTCCTGGTAGCGACTCCCAAAAAGAAAATAGTATAGGGGATCATATCGCGGATGTCCAAATGTCATCTCCGGAAGAAATTATCGAAATTAAAAGTAATGATCCAAATCCTTCATTTGGAAATGCATGTTGCAAAGAAATTAGTGATGATCTCAATTCAGACCATTCAATAGAAAATGATTTCGATTCAGACAATTTAAGAGAAAGTGATTTTGACTCAGACCATTCAATAGAAAATGAAAGTGAAATAAGTTTGAGAACATTTTTATCTGATTGGTCTATAAGGCATGCAATATCGGTGAATGCTATGAATGAGCTCCTTCGAAAATTAAAATCTGTTGACCACACCTTGCCCTTAGACGTTCGCACTCTACGTGAAACGCCCAAAAATACGGATATAATGGAAATGGGTAGTGAGACATACATGCATTATGGTTT